AATATTTCCCAACCCATAGTCTTTCATGCACTACACAGCCTGTCTCCACGGTATAGGTTCTTCTGGATAGCGCATGCTTAGCGTTGGCGCGCCAGGGAGTACAGGCAAACGAAAGCGTACTAGGCGTCTGGTCCATACCGGACTCTCGATCCGAACAAGTTTATGACAACCTACTCAGATATGTGCGTCTATGCATAAGCTACGTGTAACTACCCGACAGCGACAACATAAGCCACACTGATAGCCGAATGCACATACGAGACGGTTGTACACGATTTTCTACATCATTTCACCGACATATTAGGTCACAGGGAAGTAGCAATTTCGACTTCGTCTATTACTCTTACAAGTTCGCCCGTCCATGCATCAGCCGTTGCTTTTGCATGTACCGTCGCGTAGCTGCCTAATTAATCAGGCGCTGCCAGCCCATAGGATGTCGGGTGTAAGTGTAGATGGAAATGCATTCACGTAGGAGGCAAACAGGGTGCCGTCAGCACATGCTTGAGAGCAATCCATCCCCAGCATGATGACGGATTGCATGACGGAGTGAGCATAGTGAGGCATTGAGTCGGTAGTTGCGGAGTAGGATGAACTTGGGACCCTTTAAGACAAGGGGTTGGAGCACGGCACACACTATCTCTGGAATAAATCCTGTCAGCGCAAAGAGCTGATATTACATCACGGCCGGTAGCCAGTCTCCCTGCACAAAATTTGCCAGGGCGTAGTTCAAGCAATCATTTACGTGCAATGGGCACCCAGCGTAGGCGGGCCAGCAAGCAAAAAACGATTGGCGCATTGAGTCAGTACGTGATAATTTGGTATGGCAAAATGGCTACTTCGTATGTAAACTGGTGCACGTAGGCGACGTTATTGATACGATAACTGAAACACACGAAGCTTCCTGACATCAAGAGATAGTGACTGGCTATATACCAAGTTGCACAATAAGACTATAATGCGGCTAATAATGCGACAGTCTTAGTTTATGTTCCACCGATAGCAACGGTTGATTTTCAAGCTAGTGTGACACTAACATTGAATAAGCGCGTAAAGCCGAGACAAGAATGTGCTTCATGCACCCATGACGGGTGAATATACAGCTCTAGTGAGTTCGCACCGGCAATAAAGTTAGCGTTCAACAAGTCCAGCAATTAATGAGGGTGTGAATTACAAGTGCGCATGCACCCATGTCACAACGAGCTGTTGATGTCCGCTGTTGTTGTCCGCACGATAGGACGGCCAGCCACCTTATCTGGGCGCGTTTTCGGGTGCACGCAGAGGCAAAACGAGGATATGCGGATAAATGGCTTACCATGACCAGATATGTCGTTAAATAATGATAAACAGCTTAAACACCTCCGTTTCTGGCGCATAAGCTATTACCTTTTAGTAAAACCCTATTAGTATTAGGCGCACGTAACCACTGAAGCAACCAAAGTGACTGGTTTGCATGCTCCTGGCCGTTCCGGTTGGATGCATTAAGGACGAATTTCGGGCATGCAAAGTAATTATCGCGTTAGTTCTTTGACTACAGGATTGTGTAATTACAAATCGGGAATCGATTCAGGCTTATAGTTGACGGTGTTTATCGTTAGAAAGAAGCATTCACAATACATGTTGAGGGTGCGCGAAATAAATGTCTGAGTGACGAAACTTCGTCTCAAGTGCGTCTAGCTGGGACGGCCAGGCGCATAGCAGTGGGTCAGCGCAGGGTCACACCACGAGACTGCTCTTTCCAGCCCTCTAACACTTCGAAATTATTTTCGCAATTCTCATCGCATGTTCCCTTGCCTACACAGTCCGAACCAGCTCGACAAGCGCTATCCAGTGCACTTCCTCACTCGGATGTACTAGGTGGGGATCACCCTGTACGATACGTATAACCTGATTTGCACACGCATTCTCAAGGCTGTTGTTTATCTCAGCGCGGAACGCGGAAAGAAAGCTGCATCCCAATCTCGCTTAAGGTTCACGCATGCCTGACGGCATATACGACCAGGCTATCCGACACATGCTGCAGTAACAACTGTGGTCCATTTTCACCTAACTCTGACGCGGTATTCGATCAAATGCCAACACCACGGTAATTGATACTATTGGAAATAGCAGTTAGCTAAAATAGATGGTCCCAAAGTTTTGAAAGTGGTGCTTCCGTCCAAACGCATGGCGGGAGAAACACACGAGATGTGCCGCAAGCGTAGTAACGAGCTCCCATCTGAGACGCGCTTGCAGGCGTTTAACCCCAGACTCCAGTGGATGGAAGCAGAGCGAAAACACTGAAGCTTATCAACCACAGCAACAAACCTTACTCTTCAGTCATATGGCTGCGATTCCTGACAGCCTCTTACAGGAACAGCGACTTATCCAAAGACCACTTTAACAGGAACTTCATCAGGTGAGCTTCGTATCAGCCGACATGAAGAGGTTCAAAGCCCAATATCAGTAGTTCACCCAAAAAACGATTACCTGCAGACCTCACAAAGGTCGAGTTGAAATCTTACCTGACACCCACACCTCCAAATACGGTTCTGATATTCGAAACAGTACCCAGTTTTTATAATAACGTAGAAGGACACCTCAACAAGCTTTCTGCGCTTCATCCCGCCAAGCTTCGACACCCCAAGACAGGATCACGCTGCGACCTAAAATCCGTGGGTAACACGAATAGGCTTTATGGAAGCGGTTTGCGTATGCTTTTGGCGCCCAAACCCAGTTTCGCTACCTAGTAGGAAGAGACTGCCACAAGTCTATTCGTTTCAGTAAAATGAAAGATGCTAAACTACCGCTCGCCTGCATACTGCCTAGCACCTGGGGAGAGGTATTAAACATTGAGCGTGTACGGCATGTGCTAATCAGCCTTATCCCAATTTACCAGAGGTGCCGTATGAAGAATAGTGTAAGACTCCAATGCGTTACAACCTATTGCATCGTCGAATGCGGGTTGATTTCGTGACAAACCGGATAGTACATCTCGGTGCTTACCTCATATTGAGGCCGCTGCGGCATAGGTGAGAGCAAAGCAGCACAAGATGACACGGATACAAGCTTGTATTAGTGGGTTTGGAGCGGGAATGCTCAACAATTCTGTTTCGAAAGCAGGGTGGTGAATGTGGGGAACAATATGCCGCAGCACCTAGTTCAGGCAGAGTCAAGGTCGGAACACAAGAAGTGAATGGACAAACGCTTTGCCCATATAAAACATATCAAGCGTACTCCAACATAACGAGTATTTGTACCTGATTAATGTTAGATGCACCTACACAGAGGTATCACATTTTGTTGCTTCAAATCAGTAACCAGTAAAGGAGACCTGGCTCAACGACGAAATCACTGCGGCGGAGAGTGCCTTACCATACATGTCCGTCCTACGAAAGGATCGACCAAGTAGGGGAGGTGACGTCCAGTTGCACCATCGCAGTGCTCTACAGTTCGGATTAATTATTAACCATTGACCCAAGTTGTTTACTGGCATTGATGCCGCTCGCAACACAAACGTGGCGACACATGTCTGGTGGCCATTGTATACCGTCCTTCGATGTCAAATGTAGACATGGACAGCCGTTTAGCTAATGCTCTGAAGACCGTTCAAGCACAGCCATACTGTCACTTTCTCATTGCCGGAGACTTCAACGTGCTTGCTGTGGAGGTTCCAAGCTCCCACAATGAGCAATTGAAAGCCGAACTACGAGAGCTAATCGCTGGCCTACCATTTTTAAGCGCAGTACCACACCTACGAAATTCAGAACAGGAAGAAACCGGCCATGTTTGACCTTTTGTATACCAGAGGGGAACGCATCATCGACACAGTAACAGTAAGCAGCACGTTTGGACGCAACGATCATGCAACACTACATTTCCAATACGTCGGAAACACTGTTACGTAGTTTGGCGACTGCGGCTTTCTCCGTGGCAAAATTATCCGGTGGGAATAACTGCACGCAGATAACAGGCCTCTTTCTTTCGCACACTGCATTTGGTCAGCTCACGACGTGAGTAGCGTCCCTAACTTGTGCGTCAACTCATTTCCGTTACGTCAACCAAAAATGGCTCAGTGTCCGAGTGGTAAAGATGACAGGTAATGGTTATCTGGGAGCAGTCATTCTCACCTGATAGGGTTGTTACAGAGAAAGTTGCAGTCACAAACTAGGTAACAGTGTCCCCGGTACAAAAGAAGTCAGTTGCTATCCAGTAACGCTCTCCACGAAATATCATTGCGTTATTGTCCGCGGCCAATTACGTCGCAACAAAGCATTGAACTGCACGATGCCGGACAGTGGTCACATGCACGGACGATTGCATGTTGCATAAATAAGCCATGTGGCAAGGTTTCCTCATTTCGTCGTGAAGCCATCATTGTGCCGCCAAGAAATGAACAGAAGTGGACCTTGTGCGCACCATTGGTTGCAAGTGAAGAACAGAATATGCAAGTGTATGGGGTGGAATACAATTTAGAACACGTTGCCTGTTTACTTAATATAACTTTCAGAACCTGCGGCAGCTGGTTAGCAGTGTTAAAGTCCGCAGAACCGAGAAGACCATATGAGTGTGCTCGTCGCAAAGCTCTGATAGAAAGTCAGGTTGACTCTTTGCTGGAGTGGGTGTCCGCAGAAACAACAATAACACTTGCAACACTTTGTTTGTGTTCGAGGTTGTGGTCAGTACCGATACCGTCGACAGATCTCTAGACGGTCGACTGCTAACAATGAAGAATTTGCACGTGAGGTCCGAGTCCATGCACAAATTGGTGCATAAAAGGGGACGGAAATCGTTTGTCATCCAGCTGGTGTATTTTCAGAGAGTAGGACGGCAACCCGTGTGCATTGGCGAGACTAATTGCAATCGCTTTTGCACGGGTACTCGAGGCCGTTATCTATGCGTGAGCTGCGCACAGTGTACTGTGGCCAAAATGTGCACGTATTTGGAGCCATGACAAACGAGGTGTTGATTGTGCATCCCGAGTTACGTGGGAGTTTCCACAAGCAAGTTTTACATCGTGGCTGTGATATATATATATATATATATATGTTGATCATAATCTCTGAATGGATAGTGTACCAACGTAGCAATGGAGGTATAGAAAACAGGGTAAGAGTAAAAGAGGAAAGAAAACAAGCAATTTTCCGCGAAATTTCCACATTCATTTTGTAGCATTTTTGTGGTTGAAGTTATTGGTTCAGGTTTTACGCAACTGTGATTTTGGATTGGTGACAACGCACCGTGCCACACAAACTTAGGAACCGTTTTCCAAGAAGGCCGGCACCGATGTAGGAGGATGTTACGACTGGTACAATACTATCCGACGCTTCACCATCTCGATGGAATCTGGAGTGTAATCAGAAGCAATGTGGTGTAAACGATGAGGAGCCAGTATGCGGAAATGCTCCGACGGGATCCTGATGGTGCAATCAGTAAAAGCGGGTGGAGCATTCGTTTTCTGGGCAGGTAGTGTCAGAGGCAAGAGCTTGTGTCACACGGTATCACTGCGAGAAATTGGTCCAGCACGTGATGGGTAATTACAGGCGTGTAGTTCATATGACATATTTGTAAGCCACTTTCATTTGCTTAAATCATTCGTTTGTAAATGGAATCGGGATTTTTCCTTCTACCTCACTAGGTGGGTTAACGGAGCAATACATGTTTCGCTTGCAATATACAACCATGCAATTCGGGAACTCCGAGGTGCTCGGTTAGCAATTAGTTTGCAACGTCCTAGGGCGTACACGTTTCCGTTTCTGTGAGGTGAATCAACTACATGAGACTTAGAGGGCTACTAACACACGGATGATAAGTCGTTGGGTCGGAAGTGATTTCAGATCATTTATTGAGCTTATCGTTTGTATATGCAGAGAATTTGAATAAGAAGTTAGACGCCAGCTGTGTAGGTGAAAATCAGATAACAGGCTTGATGGCAATAGGTTGAGATTAATCGGTTGCCAGGGGAAAGGAGCATATGCTGTTTCACATTTCTTAACCTGAGGTTGATGACAAGCTGTGCACCTACAGCGTTGGCTGCTTTCTACTAATTGTGACGGCCCCGTGGAACCGGATATCGCGGAGTAGAGTATGACGGCGAAAATTTGATTGTGGTATCCAGCACTATCTGGTGACCAGTAATCAATAGACGCTTACATATTGAGGATTCCGGCAGCTTACGCAACGTCAACGCTTGGGGAGTGTAAGGCTATTCGTGTATCGCATGCAGGATACACTTCGGTACATGCTGATTCACACGGGACCATAATACCCTTTCGGTTCTACCAGTGTCACTGAATATGCAGTCACAGGTGATAGGGTATAGACAACGAGAGCTGATGCCGATTGTTAGAACATGGCCAATCTCTTCCCCTTAACAAATCGCATCGAGGGAAAGAGCTGAGATTTACTTGGCATTCCATTACCGCTGGTAATCAGTATCCTTGCACCTAAATTTACCAGGTCCTTGTCCGAGCAAGCAATTGCGTACAATGGGCGCATTCGCTGCACGAGCCAACAGGCTTTCACACCAGCTTACTTGACTTGAGATCGGAACTGTCGCCGCTCACAGTAGGTAATGCACCGTAGTTCTCCTTGCTAGTAAGCCGTTTGAAGGAAGTGACTGCTAACGTTTGGACTGCTTCCTGGACATAGGCGACCTCGACCGTGCATAAAGTTAAGCACAACTTACGTGTAGTTATGGATTCCGAGCAACGAATGTTCCTTTCGGCTTAATACAGCAATCATTTATATTATTGCTTACCTGATTCCTGGTTCCATGGGACTGTGTTTAGTACCGGTAAGTCTAAATGAAAATCGAGTGAAGGCTATGTGTCCCCCGGATGAAGATTGCTTACAAGTGACAGGCAATTGGCTAAAACGCTGGTTGGGTTGAAAATTGTCCCCTAATTTGCAAAGCCGAACACAAAATCAGCTGCCTTATCATTCGTGTGAGCACGCCATTTGAAGTAAGGCGAAACCAAATACTTGCACTAGTTGGCCCATACCTGTGTTTCCGGTGTCATGCATATTGAAGGAAAGACCGGGTTGCCCTATGTGAAAGCATTCATCACCTACGAAGGTACGGATAAATAAAAAGCGCTACCTAAGAGACTAGTAAGACATTTCTCTTGCGTAGCGCACCGCAAGCATCTGCAGTGGATAATCAAAATTGGTATGCAAAAATAACCTCATTCTAACACATCAACTGTCGCTTGCCTTTCGCACCAAACATAAACGTACTAAGCATAGCAAAGTGCCACAGTATGCGCTCCTTTCCCCCGGGGCAAACGGTTCCTCTAAACCTAATGCGATCAAATCTGTTATATAATTTTCTGCTACACAGCTGGCGTTTAATTTGTTATTCAAATGCTCTGCATACACAAACACAAACGATAATTTCAACAAATGATCTGAAATCACTTCCGACCCAACGACTTATCATCCGTGTGTTAGTAGCCCTCTAAGTCTCATATAGTTGGTTCACCTCACAGAAACGGAAACGCGTACGCTCCTGTACGTTGCAAACTAATTGCTAACCGAACACCTCGGAGTTCCCGAATTGCATAGTTGTAGATTGCAAGCGAAGCATGTATTGCTCTGTCGGCCCGTGACCTAGTAGTAACGAGGTTGTCTCGTAATCTTGTGGTGCGGGTACGAATCCGCGTAGGGGTGGGCGTCGTCGCAGTGGACTTAGCCCGCGTGCGACTGTTGGTGGTCGCACGGCAGCGAAGCGCCGTTACGGCGTACAGCTGACTCATTCTTATTATTATTGTTTCTTCGTGAACCCATCTGGTGCTGAATTAGGGAAAAGACCGATTCCATGTACAAATAAATATCGTAAGCAAAAGGAAATGGCTTACAAATCTGTCCTATGGTTTACCGTATAGTACCGAATATAAGTCGATAAATGTTGAACAATATTTTATTTCCGTTTGAGGGGTCAAGTTATAAGATGATTATGCTCAGTTTGGAAAATGTTGCGTGCATAATCCATCCAAAAATTCACTACACACCTCTTCCCCAATCTCTCCATAGCACCAAACGCTAGTAACGGACAGTATTTCAGACTGGGATTTGACATGCCTCATTTTCCGTACAGTGTCCACGCAGTACTACGAGCAGCGTGCCCATAACTAAACAGGTTATTATTGTGCAGGAAGTTATCAGTACACTGCACATTTCACGTTCGTGATGGATGACAGTAGAAGAAACATACGGAAATATACAGAATTAAACACCATCATAAACAATATCATTGCAAAATAATGACAGAATAGCACTTAACAGCAGACATTGGAGGTCGGTCAATATAGGGACTTAGGACAAATTTGGTATTGTAAAGTTATACTGTCACCTTATCCATGGACGGGAGTACATTCGGTAATATACGGCACACCTCCGTATTACCCATTGCGTGCTGGACCAATTGCTCGCAGTGATACCGTGTGACACAAGCTCTTGCCTCTGACACTACCTGCCCAGAAAACGAATGCTCCACCCGCTTTTACTGATTGCCCCATCAGGGTCCCGTCGGAGCATTTCCGCATACTGGCTCCTCATCGTTTACACCACATAGCTTCTGACTACACTCCAGATTCCATCGAGAGGGTGAAGCGTCGGATAGTATTGTACCAGTCGTAACATCCTCCTACATCGGTACCGGCCTTCTTGCAACACGGTTCCCAAGTACGTATGGCACGGAGCGGTGACACCAATCCAAAAACACAGTTGCGTAAAACCTGAACCAATAACTTCAAGCACAAAAATGCTACAAAATGAATGTGGAAATTTCGCGGAAAATTGCTTGTTTTCTTTCCTCTTTTACTCTTACCCTGTTTTCTATACCTCCATTGCTACGTTGGTACACTATCCATACAGAGATTATGATCAACATATATATATATATATATATATATATATATATATATATCACAGCCACGATGTTAATCTTGCTTGTCGAAACTCCCACGTAACTCGGGATGCACAATCAACACCTGTAGCGCCCAAAAAGATAACTCTTATCTTTCGTGTACAATTTACTTGTTGACCGATTGTACATTACTCCTTCTTGTTTTAATCTTACAACCGGCTCGACACACAACTGCCTTGTAAGTTCCCGCGCTCACGTGTACGCTCTTGCCTCGCTTCATCCGTTCGCTTCTTGTTGTAGCCCATCGAATACAGTCCGCTGTGTCCGACTCCAATTGCCTTCTGATATCCGCGCTTAACTGCGCGCACCGTCTCGGACTAGTATTAACTAGTCCTACACAACTCGTTTATCATGGCTCCAAATATGTGCACATTGTGGCCACGATTGTTGGCTACAGTACACTGTGCGCAGCTCACGCACAGATAACGGCCTCGAGTACCCGTGCAAAAGCAATTGAAATTAGTCTCGCCAATGCACACGGGTTGCCGTCCTACTGTCTGAAAATACACCAGCTGGATGACAAACGATTTCCGTCCCCTTTTATGCACCAATTTGTGCATGGACTCGGACCTCCCGTGCAAATTCTTCATTGTTAGCAGTCGACCGTCTAGAGATCTGTCGACGGTATCGGTACTGACCACAACCTCGAACACAAACAAAGTGTTGTAAGTGTTATTGTTGTTTCTGCGGACACCCACTCCAGCAAAGAGTCAACCTGACTTTCTATCAGAGCTTTGCGACGAGCACACTCGTATGGTCTTCTCGGTTCTGCGGACTTTAACACTGCTAACCAGCTGCCGCAGGTTCTGAAATTTATATTAAGCAAACTGGCAACGTGTTCTTAATTGTATTCCATCCCATACACTTGCATATTATGTTCTTCACTTGCAACCAATGGTGCGCACAAGGTCCACTTCTGTTCATTTCTTGGCGGCACAATGATGGCTTCATGACGAAATGAGGAAACCTTGCCACATGGCTTATTTATGTAACATGCAATCGTCCGCGCATGTGACCACTCTCCGGCATCGTGCAGTTCAATGCTTTGTTGCGACATAATTGGCCGCGGACAATAACGCAATGGTATTTCGCGGACAACGTTACCGGATAGCAACTGAC